GTTATTACGGGTTTAGTGGTTTTAGTTGGCATTACATTTTTCATCCTTGCTGTTCCGTGTTTCCTTTATCACTGATTTGCATGTTCTCCCTCTACTCCTTGCCTTTACATCTGGGAGCGCAGTCAGCATACGGCTGAACAGCAGAGATGACATCAGTGAGCCTCATAAAGGGTCCTGAAATCAGTCAGTTTTAGACTCACATTGAGGAAGAGTAAAGCGCGATCTCTGCGCAGCATTACTATAGGGGCCGCAGAGCCTGTAACGGACGTCCCATGTACACTAAATGACAAATTGTCCCGCGAGGCTCATAAAACATTTATATACCGTGTGAACAGGCCGTACACGCAATGTCCTAAATCACAGGCAGCGTGTGGCCCTTAACTGACCCCATAGCTCTCCTTTAAGGGCCAGCGTTGTGCAAACTCTGCAACCAATCAGCTGTGTGGATGTCGTCTGTGTTATCCGGATGTCATGTGACAATTTGTCTCTCTGCGTTTAGGTGACTCCTGCGGACAACAGCGACCGCCTGCCGACCCCGAGCCCGGAGCCGCCCCACCTGAGCCACCACACGTTCTATGTGTGCCGCAAGCCTGGGGGGAAAGAGGGGCTCAGCGACCCGGAGGACTCGTCCGACTATTACTCCGAGACCACCGCCACCTCCGGGATCGAGGAAGACGATCCGCAACTGTACGAGCGCAGCGCTTATATCATTCCCCCCAAACCGTCACACATCCTGCTGGAGGCTAGCAAGAACCCCTCCTACCCCAAAATCATGGTGAGCTATGAAGCATGCCTGCTGCGGGGGGAACTACAACTCCCAGCATGCCCTGCTAACATTGTAGTTTCCTAAGATAGTTGAACATTTCGATATTTTGTTACATTTCAGGTTTTCACACTTTTTCCCTTTTGTTTTGCAGCTGGTGAAGCCTTGCAAGGGAAGCCAGGGCGATTGCCCTAAAGACGCTCGGGACGACGGCCCTACCGACCCGCTTCCGGCATCGGAATTAACCAGGACCTCCGGGCCGGACCCAAAAGACTTTCAGGAGGCAAGAGACTGGAGAAAGAGGCAACAGGCGCCTCCCGCCTCACAGGGGCCCCATGCATGGACTAAGCAGGCCCCCGGTTCTAGGACTCAGCACAGGCCCCAAGGCCACAGGACTGTCCCCCCGCCCTATTGCGCCAAAGTGACCGGGCCAAGCGGCTCCATCACCACGGTGACCGCCACCGCCTCGGTGACGGTGGCCGTGCATCCCACATTGCCGGGGGCTATGCAGAGTTACAGCCACAGCGGCTACGAGGACAGCGAGACGGACTGCACAGAGCGCAAGCCCAAGTGGGGGCGGAGCAAACACAGCCAGGGGGAAGCGTTCGAGCTGGAGAACCTGGAGCAAGGCCGGAGACAAGATGGCTCCTCCGCTGTGCACTAGGTGAGTGTCTGAGCGCGCCTCATTTCACTCCCGAACATAGAGCCCACCCGGGGAAAGAACTGTCTGTGTTGCCTAATAGTAGCCAGAAAGTAGCTAGTCTCAGTCTCATTGGTGGCATTAGACAGTTCTTATTTCAGGCATCCTTATACTATAGTTATGTCATTTGTCCGTCTGGGTGACATGTGTGGAGTTCCCCTTTAATGACTCAGCGGGGAGTCGGCGCACTGCAGGGGGGGCGCAGCTTTCAATGTGTGACATGCAGACAAATTTCGGGGAGTTTATCGGCCAGACCGGTCTGCCATCAAGTGGCCACTGGCAGTATTGCAAGGCTACCGCTAGATTGAGGAAGGCTGGGTTCACACCTAGGCGTATCGAATATGCGCGTTTGTCGCGCGTTACGCGACGCGCGTTTTTACCGCGATTTGCGGTAAAAAAAAAACGTGCGACAAACGCGCGTTTCCGAGGGCTACTTGGCTGTATCCCAATGGAAACGCGCAACAAAAACGCCCCAAAGAAGCTCCTGTACTTTGGGCGTAGGGCGTTTTGTAGCGCGTTCATACGGCCTGTAATACGCCCGGGTGTGAACCCTACCCATAGGAAATAATGGGATTTCGGTGTTGGAGCGTTTTGCAGAGCGTAGGAACGCGCTACATAACGCACAGGTGTGAACCAGGCCGAAGTCCTTCACTTTATACCAATGGCATGGCTGACACCCGGAGAAACTGCTGCGGCCTGAAGCTATAACTCCACAAGCTGATAAGAGAAGCTGATTGGTTGCCATGGACAGCTGCTCCAGATTCTGTCTGCTCCAATTTTGATAAATTCCCCCTCACTCTATAGCAAAACATTTGATAGTTTTAGGTGATGCAAGCAGTGGGCCGGCTCTTGGGAGGAGTTATGCAAATGTCTTGATGGGGGGTATCAAGTGCTAGATCATGCTGGACATCCTCCAGCATCCTCCAGCATGAGGCAGTGAAATCAGAGTAAGCAATTTCAGTCCAGTAGAGGAGCCGGTATAACTGTGCAAGACTGGTGGGAAAGACGGAGGTCAGATAGGAGACTGAAGGGGGAGGACGGAGGTCAGATAGAAGACTGAAGGGGAGGACGGAGGTCAGATAGAAGACTGAAGGGAAGGACAGAGGTCAGATAGAAGACTGAAGGGAAGGACGGAGGTCAGATAGAAGACTGAAGGGAAGGACGGAGGTCAGATAGAAGACTGAAGGGAAGGACGGAGGTCAGATAGAAGACTGAAGGG